ATGCAACAAAATGGAAACTAGATGTCTGTTCACATTTAGAAGAATGGGAAAATAAACTTACTGAATATGCAGTAATGGCAAAATTAACATCCTATTCAAGAAACAGATCCATTATGAACTTTGGGGAGATATGAAGTGCATATTATGTGTATTATGCTAGCAGGAGACAAAGTGAGAAAATAACATATACAAATGTAATGAAATAGAAGTAGAATTAAAATCTTTTCCAAATGTAATATCCCAAATACAAATGGGTTCGCTATATGAGATACACTGTGATATACTAGTTATCTATTAACGGTTCTAATGAATAAGTAGAAGTGATGAAAATATGTTATACTGAATACGAAGTAATGATGAAAGCAGTGTTGTAGTCAAAACAGATTAATTATGAAATCTGAAACTTAAAACTAAAATATAAAAATAAGAACTATTGTTTTATATGATTGTCTTTCACAAACGTAATTATGTTGTATTACCCTTCCCCCCCTTTTCTTTTCTGTACCCCCACTGTTTTCCTAAAATAAAAAAGGGGAAAAAAGTAAATTTTCATATAAGTCTCAATGGCAGTAAACTGGAGGCATGAATGACATGCACAATCACATAAAAGGACTTTTTACAATGAAGGGTGTACGACAGAATTAATTGCTTTTGAGGTATCTATGACAGCCAGAACTAGAGACAGCCTATTAAAGCAGGGTCACATGATTAACAGAGGTTCAGTGGCTACATGCATTTCATAGTCAAGGTCCAACTAACCACTGTATTTGAGACAATATTTTTTCATAGGTTAGTTAGCTCTGCTGGGGCGTCTTCACCTTCCCTTGCAGTATGTATTATGGCACAGCTTTTTGTTTGAACTATCACCATTTGTTTTATTTAACACTGTTTGCTTTTTACCCACTTCTGGTATGGTGCAGTTTGTTTGTTCCTAATTTATTTGTGGAATGTTGCGGTCTGACTGATAGATTTAACTGTCTTCAGAGAAAGAGTTTCTGCTGGAAGGAAGATCAGGCAGCTGTCTGATATCCCTTTGAACAAGATAAACTATGCAAATATTTAGTTTCCCTCCTGTTCACCAGGTGAAGCAATATAGCATAGCTGGGTATAATTAAATTGATGTCTGCTGCACTTGCTATTTCTTTTCCTTTTTTGTGTTTTTTTCATATGTGAGTGTGTGTGCACCTGGACGTCATGGTGACCTCTGGTGACTGACCCTTACTGGGGGCTTGGAGGATATTCAGAGAGGTGGCTGAATAAAGCCTGCCCCCGCCTCCTGACTGCTAGTATTCCAAGGAAGTCTCCCATCCAAGCCCTTGCGAAAGTCAACCCTGCTTAGTTTCTGAGATCATGCTTGCCTGGGCTATCCACTTGCTATTTCAATAGCTTTGACAACTTAAATGATCAATCACATCTTTGTTCCAAATTCTAACCAAAGCTTGAATGTTCACCATCAAAGGAAACTAGGTGGAGCCTTCTTCTGAAGCAAGAACGAGCTTCTTCTGCCAGATGAAGGCTCCCTGTGCTAGCAGAAGTCTCTACTTTCAGCAAAACAGAACCACTAACTAATCAATGTAGTGATCATTATCTATTCGACTAGTCTACAGGATAGGGATGCACATCTCCATCTGGGTTAAAAGATGCAAAAAAGTCTGTCATTTTCCTTCCATGGTTGGTAAATGTGTGTGTGTTGACTGGTGAAGCCACGAAGGAGGGGAACCCCATCTCCACTGCTGCATCAGTGCTCTGATCCAAAGTGGTCCTTGCATAGCGGCTGGTTCCCCTTTCAACTCTTGTCTAATCTGGCCCACAGGCTGTAATGTGCATTATGAATAGATCCGCTAAAAAATAAATCATCTGAAAGGCTGCCCCAGGGGCACAGAAAATTTTCCAAGGGATGGATACTGACAGACAACTTTCACTGTATGTTTCATTACATGGATCACTCCCTGCGAATGAAAGGGATTCTCCCAAGACCCCTAGCCAAGGTCATTCAATGGTGCTACCAACTAGAATTCTGTGCATGCTACATTACCCAATGATGTACAATGTGGTCAGGGCTAACCACAGAGTGGATGAGGCTATGCCACAGACCTACTTATGTGGCTAAGTACTGAACTAGCCACAATGGCAGCAGATCTATATGTTTAAACCTGGGTCTGCCCTATTATGCAAGGAGGTGGGAGGTGTCCAATTTTAACAGCAAAAAGAGGCAACCAGGCAGAATATGCCCCTGTCCATGGCTTACTTCTTTGCAGTCTGCCTTTAACATGCTTTTCTGGTCAACTGAGCTGTGATTTCCAATGTGTGCTCACCTGGGAGGAAGATACTTGGGGAGAGGGGCTTCATGGAGATAAGCAGTGTTGGTGGGAGTTCTGTGCTGCTCACACACTCAGCTTTTCTGTTGTTAAAACTGGTCCTGCACACTCATTTTGCCTGTGTCACCGAAATGCTTGCAACAGAAGGGAGGATTTTTTCCCCGTCAACACAGTGAGTGGCTCACAAGGCTGTGTAGGCTTGCCCTGATACAGTCTTAGCTAATGATCTAATGATCTATGAGGACCTCTACCATATCCCTGCAAGCCCTCCCTTTCTCTAGCAGTTTTAAACAGTCATGCCACCTGCAGGAGGCAGATAATTGCTCCCCTACTTGGCCAGATTCAAAGATTACTGTAATAATACTTGAAATCTTCAACACATGAAAGAGAACTGATTGTGCCATTCCAAGCAAACCTACTAAGAATCCTACTTAAGTCCACTCAGTGGGGCTTATGCCCAGTAAAGTGTCCTTGGGACTGCACTGTGATAGTGCAGCCTATTCTGTACTACCTTTTGAAAGCAATAGGTATCAATTAGTAACAGGGAAATACAGACAAATAATATATCTTCCTTTTGGAAATCATGGCTAGCCCTCAGAAAAGATAGGTGGGCAGCCGTGTTGGACTGAAGCAGTAGAACAAATTTGGAGTCCAGTGGCACCTTTAAGACCAACATACCTTGAATAAACCTTTGTTGGTCTTAACGGTGCCACTGGACTCAAAATCTGTTCCTCAGGAAAGATGTCAAATTTTAGAGTACTCGTACCTACAGTCTAACAAAATAAAGGTTTCACAACAACAGTTATGCAAGTTTTCCTGCACTAAAAATGTGTAAGGGAGCTGCATTATCTAACCTGAAAACTCTCAATCCTAATCCCAGGTCCACAGGAGTTTATTTTACCTACTCAATGACAGTACTCTCTTCTCATGTCAGCAAACCCACACGTCCAACTAGCATGTGCTGTGGATTCTAAAGGACATCATCAGACTTTACGGAGAGCCCAACATCACATAACCAGGCTGGTATCAAATTCTACCACAAATTTTCCATTGCTCTCAGTTCAACAATAGAATAAGCAAATTTCATATAATGTTCTAATAAAATCAAACATATACTGAATTATTATGGCACAATCCTATACTGATTTACTTAAACTAATTTCCATTGTGTTCAGTGGGATTTAATTATGCATAGGATTACAGCCTTGGTATACCCTCTTGTTCTATTATGTCCACTTACAGTGTGCAGTGTATACTTACAGTATACTTTATGAGTCATGCTGTATGTTTACCACACATAAATTGTTACTTGGACAAGTAAAATGACAGGCATAATCTGTTTACTGCTAGAATGAGTTTATGTTGAGTTGGCTTTGTGATTTATGGTGCTGATCTAATTTTTAGAAGTATATTTAAAGTAACTATCATAATCACATATATTTGAAGGCACTTGCTAATGCACCTATAATATGGGATTATATGACTTTAGTCATGCACATAAAGTGCATAGAATACATAATAACAGAATCTGTTCAACACATTGGACTTACATTTCCAAGGCAGAATCCACCAAGTTACATTTTGTTTTCTGAATATGTTTATAAGAACTGGTCAAAATCCTCATTTTGACAAAGGCTGCAAATAAACTGTTGATTTATGCACGTTAGAGGATTTGTTCTTATTTGAGGCATTACACTACTCATTCGTCCTAACAAATAAGAGTGTGTGGAATGAGCATTACAAGACCTATTAATATCCAAGGAATTTACTGCCAAAAAAATTGGTTTAGGATGGCAGACTTGTTTTGGGTAAGAAAAGACAAAGCCAAGAGACATTAAGACCTCCTGCTAACAGCATGCTTGGGCTCTGACAGCTGCTTTCTTTGTTTTGCTTTGCAGTGCCCTCCCCCCATCGTCATGCTGACCTACATGAACAGCTTTGCATCGTTTTCTCTTCTACAGGCTTTCTCCAAGCAAGAGACGGGGAAATTCTGGCTCTTATGGCCATTCTGGTAAATGCACAGATACACAACATCCATCCATTTTTGACATAATCTGTCAAGATCAAATACGACCATACCTACCACAGTATTTTAAATGGAAATGCAACATGAAAATATTTTCCTGACCTATCCCAAAAACAAAACCTTCTCACATCCGAACCAAGGTCTGTCTAACTAAGCCTCACCGCAGACTCAGCTGAGGCATCAGCCACAATGCACCACTTGAAGGCAGGAAAGGTTTAAGTCGGTATGTTGAAAGGCTGAGAATGCTAGATTCCATCCGAAAATATATGATATTCACACCTGAGGTGCGTATATATCTTAACACATAGATGGAGACGATTGTGGAGAGAATAGGGCAGCTGCATAAACCACAGGACCAGAAGGATGTTGGTGTGAAAGGCACAGAATGTCTTCCTCCTGGGGCAAAGGGAGGCAGCAGCCCATATTCACAGGAAAACAGAGACGAGATGGAGACCTGGGGGGGGGGGGGGCTAAGCCCCCCCCCCCCCCTGCGCATGGCACGGCCGAGGATGCGCCCCCTTCAGCCGCCAAAGGGCCGAGGCGGGGGGGGGGAGATCCTATAGCAAGCGCGGCTGCAAGCAACACCCCTCCTTCTAGAAAGAAGACCCGCGAAGTGCGGCAGGCTGCCCCCGCCCCCCGGGGGGCGAACTCTCTACCTGCGGGTCCCGGCGGGCTCCGGCCGTTGGCGTCCCAGCCGCCCAGGGTGACGGCCCCATCCTTCCAGATGCGAATGTCCGCCGGGCTCTCCACCCTCCCGGCCGGGGGCTCCCTGCGGCGCAGCCGAGCGCGGAGGGAGCCGCAGCACTGGTAGCAAACGGCCCACGCCTGCTCCTCGTTGATGGGCTGGCTGTAGAGCCTCAGGATCTCCTCCAGTGACAGCGCGTCCCGCACCACCACCGCGGCCCCCCCCCCCGGGGGACCCCCGCCGCCGCCGCCGCCGCATCCTTGTCCTGCGTAGTCTTTGCCGCTGGAGGTCCCAGCCAAGGGCTCGTCGCCCCCCGCCGCTCCGGCGTAAGCCATTCCCTCCGCGGGGGGAAGCGAAGCCTCTGTGGGGCTGCCGCCCGCCTCCTCCTCGTCGTCGTCCTCAGCTTCACCTCCTCCTCCGCCGCCGCCGCCGCTCCTTCTCCTCCGTCTTCATCTTCTTCTCCCAACCCCCTCAAGGCGAGCGCGTGAGGCGTCGAGCGCAGCCCAGTCACCGGCAACCAAGCCGCCGCCGCCAGCGCGCAGCCAGTCAGTCAGCGGCTGGGAGGGATGAGGATGAAGGGCGGGAGCCGCCTCGCACAGCCAAGCAAAGGGCGCCCCTCCCCCTGGCTCTGGCGGGCCGCACCGCCTCCTGGCTGTGGGAGACGAGGACGGCAGGGAGAGAGCGAAAACATCAGACACGAATAAAAGCCCTCAGCCACGAGGGCCCGGCGTCTCCGGGGGGGCGGGGGGAGCTTGCCCCAGCCTCCAGGACGGCAGGATGTGGCTCAGCCGGCCGCGGTGCTTTGATTCGAAAAGGGTTTAGAAATCAGGCACAGCGGTCGAGTCAAACGCTTCTGGATATTATTTTGCTATGCCAAGTTTGCCCACGGTTTGTATGCAGAAGGCCCAAGTCCAGCCCCTTCCAGTGAAAGAGCAGGACTGGGAAAGTTCAGTGCCTGATGATACCGAATAGATGGTTGTACACACCTCCCTCTCCCATAAAAATAACTTCTGCTCAAACAGTGCAGCTAATTTTAAAAAGCATGACTGGGACATTCAAGTAGGAATCTGGCAACAGCAGTCTGTAGAGGGGATGAGAGCCACTTTACTATGGCCAAAGTGTGATCGTCATAATTTTCTCATGTTTCAGTTGAAAACTGCAACAGAAAACAAAATTCCAGCACTAAGCTTGCCTGAGCCCATCAAACCCTATTGTCAGAGTATCCTAAACACTAGCTCCAGAGCATAACTCTGAAGGTTCTTTAAGTTGGCAGGTCCCCTTTGGCCACCAGCAGGAAATGGGGGCAGTACCCAAGGAAACTTGTGGCTGTTACACACTGGCTGTCTTCCACTTCTGGCTTACATGCCCAGCTCATAACCCTATTTCTAACTGAAGGCAACCAATCCAAGGGTGCCAATGTACCCCTCCAAAACATGGGAGCCCTTCGGGGGAGGTTGGTCTATAAATGAAAATAAAATAACAATAATAGCCTTGATAAGTTTCACATGCAGTATGGCTTAGACTTGCGCCTTGGTTTGTGTGTGAGAGGGTTTTGTTTTGGGATAGGTCAGGAAAATATCTTTTCGTGGTAATGGCGGATACATTACAAATACTGCGGTAGGTATGGTTGCGTTTGATCTTGACAGTGTCAAACGGATAGATCTTTTTTGTTGCATTTCCATTTAAAATACTGTGGTTGGTATGGTTGCATTTGATCTTGACAGTGTCAAACGGATAGCTGTTGTGTATCTCTGCATTTGCCAGAATTACTAAAGGAGCCAGCATTTCCCAGTCTCTTCCTTGGAGGCAGTGAGAATTTGCAGTGGAAGCCCAGGAAGCAACTGCCATAGGCTACATGGCCTGTCACCACAACTTGGTCAGAGAAATCTGCCCCTCTCCTCTTCACTGAGGAAATGAGGCCACAGGAAAAGCAGTGCAGGAGGGAACATAACAGCTCCTCCCTCACTTATCCTTTCACCACCGCTGTGAAGGGACACTCAGTGCCACTTCCTTCATCCTGCCCTTGCAGCCATTTATGAAAGCTATCACCCACTTTTGTGGTGATCCTCTTTGCTTCAGGAAGTATAGTAATGTATGTTTCTTTCAAACATTGTTTCTGCTGAAGATGCTGAACCCTATAGTATAGTGTGGCAAATGACAGGCAACACAAACACTGGTGGATTAATTTCCCAAGTTCGAAAAAGGTGTTAAGGTCTCATAGGGCAGCCAGGCATTAGCACAAATCCAAGAGGAAAAAATGACGCTAGAAAAAGTATGAGTATAGGCATATATTTAATACCACACATCAGCGCCTGTATAAGCACCAATGAATGGGTTGTGAACAACACTCTGGCGATCAGGGTGTTTTCTCAGATATTTCTGGAGTGACTGTAACCATGCAACTCTAAGAAATAAAGCAATTCTGTAAGTTGCTACTTATCTACACTTACAACCTCTGGCAGAAAGCCAAGAATTTTGTTTTTTTCAAGAGTTTGATTAACTGTTAGTATACCTTCTGTGAACCATCATCATGCAGTGTGGAGACAGTCCTGTTTACTATTTTATGCCTTGTTCCAAGTGAAAAACTTAGCACCAATGAATGGGTTGTGAACAACTCCACTCTGGCGATCAGGGTGTTTTCTCAGATATTTCTGGAGTGACTGTAACCATGCAACTCTAAGAAATAAATCAATTCTGTAAGTTGCTACTTATCTACACTTACAACCTCTGACAGAAAGACAAGAATTTTGTTTTTTTCAAGAGTTTGATTAACTGTTAGTACACCTTCTGTGAACCATCATCATGCAGTGTGGAGACAGTCCTGTTTACTATTTTATGCCTTGTTCCAAGTGAAAAACTTAAAAAAATCAAAAAATGTAGTGTGTTTTTCCAACTTTATTGTTGCACTACAATTCAAAATGTTTGTTAACAAAGGCTGACATTGTCTACTCTGGAGCTATGGAAGTTAAAAGATATTTGGACACCAATTTAAACTTTTGCATATCTTTATTATTCTTCCAAAACCTATGTTGTACTATGATAAAAATACATATTTATAATACATTAATTACATATTGTACAGACATTTTCTGCCATAATCTTTTAGCACAAGCACACAGGCAATATTTGACATTATTGTTGTGGTAGCCTTTATCCAATGTGAACCATACACTGCATTCTGGAATATTATTTTAACACTGTACACTTGTATAGTTACTATGTTTATGATTCTGAACAAACTAAGAAGAAGATACTTGCTTCCACATAGAAGATGTTCAGGGCCTTTATGAAAGGGCAAGAGCTTACCATCAGCGCTGTACACGTCTCTGACCCCAACTGTTTATTTGCTTAACAGTAAGCAGAGATTTCACTATAAAAGTGCGAGTGATTTCTTAGAGTACGGAACGGTATTTGCAAGCAAACATAATCCAAACAGCACATGCATATTCAGGATACACAAATACTCGGACGCGAACTGCAAGCCGTACTTGGTCTCCTCTGCAGCACACTATTTCTTCACAGAACGGAGACCTATTTGAAGACACAGAAAACATTAGTAACCACAAACACTTGGTTCTGGAAAGACAGTTACATGAAAAAGATGGTTAACAATTGTAACCACAAACACTTGGTTCTGGAAAGACCGTTACATGAATCGATTAACAACAATCGATTAACAGTTGATTAAACAATGTAGCAACCATTGCTACAGAAGTTTGACAAATGTTGACTTAACAACAATTCCATCCGTTCGTCACTATCTATGAAGCCATGATAGATACATATTACTGCACACATAGTCTTCATAGATCCAGTGATCTCACTGCAACATTTTGTTATATGAATTAATTGATGGGTGGGTGGCTACATTGTGTCCACCCAGGATACTTCATAGTTACCTGCTCTCCAGAGACTGATTTTAAATGTGGAATCAGATTTAAAAGTGATCAGGATTGCACAATAAAACTTAATTCTCCATTTAAACAGACACTTCCAAATTAAAGTCAGAATAATTTAAAATTTAGATCTCCGTGTTACCGAAGGCAGGTAGCAAAGGCTCTCCTTGCATTTCTGTATACAAAATGAATGGGAAATCCTTTGAATGTGTGACCATCAGGCACTGCTCTCCTGATGGCATCTTGAAACTCTTCATTTCCTGAAGAAACGCCTGTGGTACGCTCCAGTTCATAGGCTGCCAAGGCTGGTGACAAGAGATAAGATAGCTGATCGTCCCAAACTGTTGCAAAACCAAGATCCTATATGAGAATTCACAGAGACTGTAATTAGGATCAATGCCCTTGTAATAATGTTCACATTTAATATTCTTGATGACTTAAAGGGACTTGTAAGCATGTTTACTCAGTCGTACTCTGCTTGTTAAGCAGTAAAAGGTAATAATTATTTTGCTACTTAACAAGTGGGGCAACAGACTTTTAGCGTCCTGCTATATTGTAGTATAGCCTTATAATTATTGCAGTACAAACTGATTATTTGTCTTTATTTTCTGATATCAGCTGACTGAAGATAGGGGATACTTCTTTTGAAGAGATGAAGAAGAGGAGATTGGACTTACCCTGCCCTTCGCTACCCGAAGGAGTCTCAGAGTGGTTTACAATCCCTTTCCCTTCCCCTCCCCACAACAGTCACTCTGTGAGGTAGATGAGGCTGAGAGAGCTCTTTCAAGAACTGCCCTTGAGAGAACAGCTCTGACAGAACTTATGACTGACCCAAGGTCACACCAGACTTACCACATGAAAAAGAGCTATTCCATAGATGAAACTGAAGTCGTAGGGGATAGGGGGTGACCGTGAGAAGCAGTTAAAAACTTGTTTGCTTTTTTTCACCTTTTTTTGTTTATAGCTCGCTTATGATTGAAATGAACAAATGATTGAAGTATAGAATGCAAAACTTTTTTCACCTAGTTTTCCATGCTTTCATTTTTACTATCTCTGTTCGTAATATAATGTTTGGTGTAGTGGCCGTGTAATCTGGGAGAACCGGGTTTGATTCCCCATTCCTCCACATGCAGATGCTGACCTTGGGTCAGAGCTGTTCTCTCAAGGGCAGTTCTCAAGAGAGCTCTCTCAGCTCCACCTACCTCACAGGGTGTCTGTTGTGGAGAGGGGAAGGGAAAGGGATTGTAAGCCGCTCAGACTCCTTCAGGTAGTGAAGGGCAGGGTAAGTCCAATCTCTGGGATGAGCTTTGTGAGAGAGACTGGATACAAATGTGCATAATACTGTATATTCCTATCTACTGGGGTTTCTATTAAGGCATGGGAATTTGGACTCCAGGGCAAAAAAGTACTAAAGATAAATTGCTTCCCTTGTTCTCTACCTTTAAAGTGGCAGAACCTCTGAAATCAAAT